CCCCAAAACCCCAAAACCCCAAAACCCCAAAACCCCTCTTATCTGCTAAAATTTTGAATTCCACTTAACTCCCATTCAAATACTCAAAGAATGAGTCAATAAGGATAGGCCAGCAGTCCATTTCGTCCGGAACCATACCTGAAAGTTCAATACCTTTCTCCTTAAACAAGTCAATGAGGCTGCACCATTCGTCCTTCTTGATTCCGTTGATGCCTTGGGTTTCTTTCTGGTTCTCCAGAAAGGCATTCCATTTCTCCAAGAAAGGCTCTATGGAGGAGCCATAAAAATTCTTTAGTAGAATCCCCCACATTTGGATGGCATAATCAATTTTCACATTCCTTGCTTCCTCGCCTTTTAAGAAGTTAAACGTGAATTTATAAATTTTTGGAAACTCAGAGTCTGACCTTAGTTCACTCTTTAAAGAGGGAATCCTTGCTTGGAGATCATGCAGTGAACTTCAACCCATCTTTTGGAATCCAGATACAAATTCAGTTTGAGTGTATTCACCCATATTTTTAGCTTCCATGTAATAGGAAATGACTAAGGTTACTGGATCGAGTGGGTCTACGTTGATATCTTCTAAAAACTGATTAATCCCATCAGCATCCATATCTATCTCTCCATCTGCATATTTCTTAAAAAGGTCTAAATAGTGTTATTTTACAACCCCTCGAACAGATACTTACCCTTTACTTCTTGACTAGCAGGCGCTGGAGCAGGAGGAACGACCTCTTCTTGCTCTTTCTCATCCTCTTCATTCATCTGACCTGCGTAATTAGTGTAAAAGACCTAAAATGTGTCAAAAAAGACTGAAAATATTACTTCAACAGCCTGGTCAACCTTCCAGCCGACATCCTGCAAAATATTAATAGCTAATTTCTTGTTTCCTAGTGCGGTAAACTCGGTGAATTGGGTCAAGGCAGACCTCTGCTTCTTATTAAGCTTTTTGTCCATATCCCTATTGCTTATATATTATTAATAATGGGGTTTTGGGGTTTTGGGGTTTTGGGGTTTTGGGG